TGGATGGATGGATGGATGGATGGATGGATGGATGGATGGATGGATGGGCGGATGGATTCATTTCGTTTCAATTCTACAGGGTTTCCAGTGTCTCAAAAGAGTGGCTCAAGTGGGAAGTCTTAGTCTTAAAGTTGGCACGCCCGTCTTTTTCTTTGTGACCCCAATGTTGCCCAAGCCCAGCCGCTGCTTTTGACCAAAGACCGAGCCTGAGAGGATCGTCGCTTTGGAAGACCACCCCCAGAGAGCTCTTTGCCGTTTGGAGACCTGGTTGTAGACCTCACATTGCTGGGAATTGAACGCCTCACAGCTGAATGAGATCGGATGGAGGACCATTTTTCAAACGCCAGTGCGTGTGTCTTGTGACTATTCAACGGTTCTAGCATTTTGATGTAGGCGAAGAAAGACCGTAAGGGTTGTACCAAGAAAGTCAGGCAGTTGTTGCAAACAAGCCAGCAGCCAAGGTGAAGCAGTTTTTGATTACAAGCTCTCCGAGGAAGCCATCAAGTTAGGTGAAGAGCAGCTCGTCTGCTATTTGAATGTGCTGTCAGTCATGGCTTGGGCCCTGCAGTTGGTGAGTACGCGTCGCATTTGCGCCGGAAACCGTCGCAGTAAATTCGTGCGTTGTCGAGGCGAGAGAGGAATCCTGTTGTTGTGGCTCAAAGGGCTCTTGGAATTGGTATACAGCTTTGGACATGGTCTCTCGTCTATTCCTACTACCAGGGAGCTGAGGAGCGTAGCTGGAGGGTAGCGTCAAATTCAGTTTCGTTGTTTGACTTGTTTGACGCTCTCGGAAACGACTTTTGCATCCAGGACCTCGGCACAATTGGGTTCTCCCATTCAGTACACCTCTGATTTTCACTACCTCTTCTCAAAAAACGGCATAATTCATGCAAAGTGCAAATTTGGTTGGGACCTGACAAGACTCTTGGCTAGCAACCTTGAGTCGACTTTCCCTTTTGATGAGATTGATGCGCCCATCCCGTTCCAAAGACTTTGAGCTCTAGTGACTAGCAGCAAGTGCCTGTCATGGAGTTTCAGTCGAATTGGCAAGCTTCATGCATGAGGGCGCGTTCTTAATTGAAACGGGCTTCTCTTCTTTGCCATGTACAAATGTTTGATGTGGGCACTCAATATTGAAATATTTCAAAGCCAGGATGTGAATGAGAAGTTGCGAGCTTACATCTAGTGCCGCGCACTAGGTGTTATGCTTTAGGGTGTGATATCAATGAGCAAGGAGGCTGCGCCCATTCAATCGGTGCTACTGTGGACGGTCGTTTGGTGCACGATCGAATTCTCGACCAAAAGAATTGCAGTTCCTTGTAGACAGACTTAGAGCTACTGTGCAAGTGCCCATTCAGTTTCATCATTCCATTATCTTCCAGCACCTGAGTTCGGGCCGTTGCCAATTCTTTAATTGGGTTTCGGATGCTGACGGCAAAAAGGAGAGCAGCGAGCAGGTCTTGGGTGTAGCCAGTCTCGGTGTTGCTGCGACTTGAGGCGTTGGTGATGGAATGGCTGTGTTGGTCAGTAGGCTCACAGGAAACGGTCCAGCAGGATTGTCTACAAGACAAACCCAGAAGCAAACGAGAAGAAGTCGAAGACGTCAGTGAACAGTCTGACGGTTCTGGACCCATCGTTAATGAAGAGAGAAACGTCAGCAAGCCACAGCAAGCTAAAGCAGCCCAGCAAATCATCTTTCGTTGACACCCAATGAATGCTAAGTGAAATAGATGGAGTCTCGCCCCAGGGGGCGGCGATTAGGAACGTCGCATGCTCAGATGTCCTAGTGTTCTGCCAATTTTTGTTTTTGTTGCGATCTTCCAGACCTTTTGTTTTTGAACCACTCCTGCGTAGCATGCAGCAATGATGATTCTGATGCTTGTGCTTCAGGCTCATCTTCCTAGCACCGCTAGCACCTGGAGTTGAGGCCATCAGTTCTGCAGACTGTTGGGCACAGGCCTTGGACACCGGGGCTTCTTTCGGGTCGAAGGGGGGCGCCGTGTGCGTCTGTCGCGGTGTCGCGGTGTGTGTCTGCCGTGTGCGCCCAGGTTGGAGGCTGGACCCCCGAGATTTGTTGCAGCGCTCCAGGTGCCAAAGGCAACCCACTCTGTTGGGATTCTGCGCTGTGCTCAGAAACCCAGGGCCCCAAACAACCTGAGTTACTTAGCGCGGCCAGTGCGGGTGATTTTTGCGGGCCTGTCGTTTTCGTTGTTTTCGTAAGGTCTTCACCTATGACCGATGCTGCACGGAAACGGAGGAAGGCATACAGGCGAGGCTCGACCGTTGGGCTTTGAGGAAGCCGGGCGACAGTATCACTTGTGAGTTGTGTGTTGATTCAATCTGTCCAAATCTGAGTTTATGACTTGTGAGTTGATTGAGTTGAGACGTTATGACTTCACCAACCTCCAAAAAGAGACGCCTTCGCTTCACCTCAGTTCGACCTCCGGCGACGCAACTTTGTGGCCGACATGGTCCGAAGGCGGTTTGGGCGGGTGGAGGCCATGGTCCGTTGTGTGGTTCAGACATGAAAGAAAAAACCATCATTTCCGATTGGTGCGACTTCTTTGGGGGCCAAGGACGTTTACTCTCCGCCATGGAGAGTAATTTCGGGATCCAGCCATCCTCATTCGCATTTTGCGACGAGTCGCACCAGTCGGATTCTGCGGAGCTGCGGAGCTGCTGCTCTGCGAGCTGCTCTGCGTCAGGGGGGCCACGGTCCACTTTGACATTCGGCATGTCTCTGGCGGACGCACGGGGGCTGTGGCATCCAGGCACATGTGTTGGCTGTGTGGGTTGTTTTTACAATAAGGATCAATAAGGCCTGAATTCAAAAGGCCAGTCCTAGTCTGCTTTTTTGCTTTGCAGGGCGCTTTCTGCCCGTTCGACTGTCCTCAGAGTTCCGTCCACGCAGGCATCGTGGTGTTTTCGTCGGAAGAGTCGCAGTGAGTTCCGTTTCGTCGCACGAGTCGCATGGCCTTGGGACTCAACCGACCGAACGAGAGGTGTTTTCGCTGAAGAGTGTGCACGCTGCGGTCATTGACGCTTCGAGGCCTGAACAAATGTGTGTACCATGCGCCATGTGACATGCACCACGTGCTGAGAGAAACCACTCCACTTGGAAGGACCTAGTTTTTCTTATTCTGTGTGATTTTGTGCCCAGTGAACAAATGGACAAAAGAGGGAATGAGAAGTTGTACGTTTGCAAATCCTTGCAATCAATTTGAGTCTTTGGTGAGAGGCAAAATGGCTGTGACGCGCATGCAGTTTTGGGTCTGGGCTTGGCTTTGGAAAGGCGGGGGGAAGGCAGAAGGAAAGCTCTGCAAGTGCCCGAAGTCATACTCTTATTCTTGTCATGTTGTTTGTGGCGTTCTTCCTGTGCAGGGTCAACCCCAGTTCAGTACTTGCAGACTGGATCAAGCTTTTGCCGCTGACATTTGCCAATGTTCCTGGTCTTGATTATGATCAGGAGGTCTGTGCGAACAGTTTGTTTAGCAGTGTGTCTTGCTGTTGGCCGAGGTTTTATGGTTTTCTTCCAGGCCGCAAGACGTGAGCTTGAAGGATTTGCTGTTATTGCGCGTCCGGAGTGAGTGTGTGATCTTGGGCTGTAAGGAAGGCACGTGCATGTCAAGTAGAGATGATAGGAAATCCTCAACGGAATATGCCCTTCTTGCTTGTGATATCTTTTCTACCTAGAGGGCCATCGCTTTCCTCTTCCAGGCAATTGGAGCTGGTACAGAAGACCTTTTTTTCCTATATTGTGCAGAACTGGTGATTTCGCTCAGCAGTTCGAAAGCGGGGCCATCGCTCTCGCTTTCAGCCCGACGCCCGTCGTTTCAGACCAAGGTTTGAAGACCTGGACTGCATGGGACGTGCTGTTCAACAGGCGAAGCCGGAGCCCGAGCGCGGAGCCGCTGAGATTTGAGCCGCTGAAGCCGAAGAAGTTCTGGTTGTCTTTTGACGTTTCCACACGTTTTGCTGAGGATTCAGAGGATTTATGATGAGTCGTGCCAAATAGAGCCCATTTCAGTCCCAAAGTTGCCATCAAGATGGTCTTGAGCTTGTTGGAAGGAGTTCTTTCAGCTCACAACCTGGCGGAAAGAGCCAGAGCTATATTATTTCAGCTCTCATTCTTGTGATTGTCAATCATTTTTCAGCAAAGTTGCAACGCCCTTCTGCCAGATGAACCCAAATCTTTGGCGTGGGCGAAGCATCACCAAAGAGGACCCAGGTTGAACAATTGGGTGTAGTTCCAAGTGATTGGAAAGCCCACGAAAGTGGCAAGTCTCGGCGCACCAGCTTGGGCGGCATGGTGCAAATAGCAAGCAACATGTAACATGACGGTTCGGCTTGCCCGCAAGTGAAGTTTTCCTAAACATCTAGAAACCAAATCATTAGTGCGAGCGTGAGCTATCCTGCGTGGTTAGGAGCGAACTTGTAGCTAGCAGCCTACCTCTTTGTGCTTGCTTGATCAACTGGTGGCCCTTTTGGCAGGATCTGCGGTGGGCATTGAGCGTTGTGAAGACGCGTGGCTTTGCCTTTGAGGTGCAGTGTCCAGCCGTCACGAGATTGTAAACCTTGAGAGTGGCACCCATAATATGATTGCTGCATAGATCTGGCCAAAGGCTCCCAAGGGCAAAGGAAAAAAGGTCAAAAACCTTTGAACGGCACCCCTTTCCAGTAAGACCAAACTCCAAAGAGGGACGACGGAACGGTGCCTCCTCTGCTGAAGGATCCATGAATCCCTTTGAAGTAATTCGTCACTTCATGCTGTTTGGACTCATTCCAAAGCCGGTTGGGAGGTCTTTGCAAATTCGGTTGCCACTGTTGTTTGAGGTTGAACTTCTGTGACCTTCACTCATTTGGAACTTACGAAAACTGGCCAGGGCACCAGGGAGAGCACCATGCTGATTCCTCTGGCAGACTTTCTGAACCACAACATGGTCGCTGCCTCGCAATTTTGCAAGACCCGGTGTGCAACATCAACGCGTCTTCAGCATTTTCGGTGAGTTCTTTCGTTTCCCTAAGGTCGCTAGTGTCCGAACTGCAACACTTGCAGAGGACCGATGCTTTTGGGATCTCCGCTGATGCGCTCCCGACGCGTCTGTACCGCTGTCTCCAGGACGCGCTGCGTTTTGTGGCCACGAAGGACGTGATGCCCGGCGACGTGTGGAGCCCAAGGAAGGACCATTCGGTGAAGAGTAAGGCCAGGGGCGTCCCTAGTAGCGTCCGATCGCTCCGTTCGTAGCGATGCCAGGAGTCCCTATATAGTAGCGAACCTTGTTCCTATGCCAGGTTTTTCGTTGACTTGACGGAGTTTTCACTCAAACCTGCATCGACGGATTGGCCTCCTTTGTGTAAGGAACTGTGCATCGACTATGCGCAGGCTTCCAATTTGGAGCTCTTTGGTTGCAGCGAGTCCCATTGCTTTCACTGCTTTGGGCGTCGCGTCGCGTCTCGAACGAGGTTCTTGGTCCGCTACGGCTTCCGAGTGGAGGAGCGCCCATTTTTTTGAAGATGTGATGACCAAGCGATAGGGGATGATAGGGATGTGATAAGGGGTCAAGATTGGGGTGGTCTGCATGGTGGTCTCGATGGTGGTCTCGGCACCAGGGTGTTTCTGGGGGGTGTTCTCCTTTCTATGCAAGGGCTTTCTTGACTGTGCTTTGGCACTTGCTGTTGATCGGTTGGTGATGTTGGTGATGTCGATGTGTGATAGATGGCGATGGTCCACAGATACAATGAATTGCTTGTTCAGGTGTGCTATTACTGTATCTTTGTCCGCAACAGTGTGAAGCGTGTGGCATGTGGCCTTTCCCGTGCCTTTTCAGACTTCAAATTAAAGCATTTGGCCCTTCCTGGATTCCTTTTCTGCGCGTGGCGTCCGCCGTTGGATCCGCGCGTGGCAGATCCAAGACACTTTAGAGGACAATCCTTATGGAGGACGTCAGTTCGAGCTTGGCGGGGAGCCGATGCAGGTGGCTGGTGTCCCTGGCCGATAAACGTGGGTCCTAGGGTGTGGGTCAAGAATCCGGAACCATTCTTTTGGAAGAAGGCCGCCAACATATGTCGTGTTGAGCAGTAGTTAAACTTCTGACTGATGTCAATGGAATGGTGCATTGCCGGCCCTCTTTTGCTTCCAGGCTCCAGACTCCTTTAAAGGGATTTCTGGAGCTTCGCAGCTTCGCGAGAGATAGCACAATGCAAAGAGCATGAGGTTTGAGATGGTTTGAGACACTCATGCAAGTGCACCTTTGCCGCGGCAAAGCCATTGCCCACAAAAGTGAGTAAAAGACAAAGCACGGCCTTCCTTTTCGAGCAGCTTCCTTTTTCACCGCACGCCATGGAGCCGGAACAAGGGCCCGCATGGGCGCTCAGCTGACAGTGATCGATTTTGTTAGCACATTGACTTTTGAAGTGCATTGACTTTGGTTCAAAATCTGGTCCGGGTGCTTGCTACAGGTCAGTCCAAGTCCAGAGGCTGATTGGCGGTTGTTTGGCGTTTGGCGGTTCTTGTGCTCCAAATGTTTCGGTGACTGCAGTCTTTCCGAAGAAGACCCTGTTGGGTGAGGACAATGAGGCTGATCTATGGAAGGATACGACTGAGTTCAGAGCCGTAGACTCAGCATTTTTCCATGCGCATCGAAGCTGCAAGCAGCAATTGGTTCGTACTCTTCAAATAGAACCCGGAAAGGTGTGAGTAGCTAATGCGTTTCTCTTTTTCGGTGTTCCGATTTCATCAGCCTTCCCTACTTTGCATGCCAGCTTTCACTGATGGGCGTGTTCGAGTGTCGCCCGGATTCGTGGCTCATTTTGGCCCAGCCGAGCATTTTCCCTTGTGCCTTGAGTTGCGCCCTCCATTTCCTCATGGAGCCTTGGACATGTCGCAGATTTGGAGTCTTGCATAGGCATAGATTGAAGCGCAAACCATCTCGGCCTTTTTGCCTTGACATATATATAGATACCTGCCCAAGACAAGAAGTCCGGGCTTTTTATCAAAGCCAGGAGCTCGGTGCAGTGCAACTGGTCTCCAGAGATCAGACTTATCAAACTCTGAGGCCAGTAGAGCAACCTGTTGGAGTAATTGAGTTGTCTGCCCTTGCTTGTGGTAAGATTTCTTCTGTGTTTTTGTGAGCCTCCACAGAGACCCAAGCAAGCTTTTCTTTGTTCTTCACATCCACGCAAGAAGCTTCGGCTCAGCAGCTACACCTGCTACAGTTTGGTTGAATCGCAGAGCTTCGCAGCCCAACTTGTTGCCGAAGCTTGCTTTTCGGATGGCTCCTCCTCACCGAATCTGCTTTTGGTCATGACGAATTGTATTTCCCTTTCTTTCGCTTTCCACTGGAGGGTATTTTTCAGAGACATCTCAAATGACAGCTGTGGCCAGGCGGTTCAAGGCCCTTCCTGGCAGCCAGGCCAGATGACATTGAATCAAATCAAATCCGGAGATGATGCGATGCCCAGGCCTAGTGTCTCCAAAGTCCTTTCAACCAAGGTGAAACAACAGCCCCAGCCTGAACGGCAGCTGCAAAGAGGGGTGGCAGCCTTCGGAGCAGCTCTGGCAGTGCAATTCTCCCGGGGCTCCAGATTGGCACGGCGGGTCTGCTTCTCGGACGGATCTTCGGACGTCCGATGTCCGGGAACCCTGCGACGGACTCTCCAGGCGGAAGCATCAACGTCCACATCTGGGCGACGAATCCAAATAGAAAATAATGTGCCTGAGCTGCACCGAGCTAACTCACTCAAAAGAATGCAAACAGATATATGGGTGCCTCCAGCGCCAGCAAGTTCCTAGCAGTCATGTCCCGCCCTGTGTGTGCTTTTACTATTGTTTCGACCACGCGTTTGCCTCGGAACGACCGAGCACGTTTGCTTCGCACCGACCGACCTCACCGTGTTCGTCGTGCCGAGCGCGGCCTCGCATGACCGAGTTCCAAATCTCTCGGGAGCTGCCTGGAGGCAGCATGGAATCCATGGAGCCTCGGCGTCATCGGCTGCGCTGGACGGAGATCCGGGGTACGTGGCTCCAGAAAGTCGAAGGTGGAGGATCTGATAAAAGGTGTGAGTGATGTGAGGTTTGTATATTTTGTTCAGATCTATTCTTGGTTTGGTTTTCTCAGTGTTGTAATGACAGGCCTGCCTGCATTGTTTCTGCGCACAGTTGGAATAGCTGATGAATGTCAAGTCTATGTTTTGACGCCCAAGTGTCAAACATAATTGTAGTGTGGGTAGAATGATGTTCATCGTGACAGGCCTTGTTTGCCCCCTTCCTAACTCGTTTGGGCCCTCAAACTTTCAGGCTGGCAAACACAACATCGTAGGAGAGAAGTCGTTCTTCAACTGCTGTTGTATCACGACGGTCTCGAGTCGATCAGAGACACAGCCGACCATCGTTAAAGAAACCGGTCGTGGCGCTTTCAGGATGAGTTCATGCGCGAGAATGCAGCGCAGGTAACGGACTCGGGTGGAAGGAGGAGGCCAAAAAGGGATGGTAAAAACGGACATATGCAGTGATGGATGGTTTATGATTTCTGACGCAATGATGTGTTTTATTCTTTTTCCTTTATTCTTCTGATTATAGATTTTGTTGTTATAGAAACTAGACGACGAGTGGCCCGAAAGCATTTTTCATCACGTGTGAAGTTAGAGTGTGAGTTATGTGTTAAGTGTTAAGTGTGAAGTGTTCAGTCTAGTGTGTCGAGTCCGTGTGTGGGTCTTTGTGTGTGTGTGTGTCTATGTGTGTATCTGTGTCTGTGTCTGTGCACAGGTGAGGGGGTGTAGACGTCGATGCACAGATGATACGGCAGCACAACAGTGTGGCTCAGGAGCGCCAACCTCTTGGTGTCTTTCTCGCTGTGTCAGCACAACGCTGAATAGGTCCGCCACACACTAGTCGCAAACATATCACATAATACCACCAGTCATCCCTCTCTGAAGCGACACGCCGTCTTGACGGACACTCTTGTGGGACACTCTTGTGGGTCATCCCCAGATACTCCGCGTACTAAAGTTGTACTGCAAAGTCGCCAGTTCTCATCTTCCAGCTCCCCAGATACTCCGCGTACTACAGTTGTACTACAAAGTGGCCAGTTCTTATGTTCTAGCTCCCCAGGTACTGCGCGTACTACAGTTGTACTACCAAGTCACCAGTTCTCATCTTCCAGCTCCCCAGCTACTCCGCGTACTAAAGTTGTACTACAAAGTCGCCAGTTCTCATCTTCCAGCTCCCCAGATACTCCGCGTACTAAAGTTGTACTACAAAGTCGCCAGTTCTCATCTTCCAGCTCCCCAGATACTCCGCGTACTAAAGTTGCACTACAAAGTCGCCAGTTCTCAGCTTCCAGCTCCACAGCTTGCTCCACGTACTAAGGCTCCCCAGATACGCGAGCGCGTGGGACAAGTCGCACTCTCGCCTGCATGTCGCGCACTCGACACGCACGATCTCCGCAGAGGGTTGCGCCGGAACCGGACAGATCGCACTCTCGCCTGCATTTCGCGCACTCGACACGCACGATCTCCGCAGAGGGTTGCGCGCACACCGGACAAATCGCACTCTCGCCTGCGCGCACGATCTCCGCAGAGGGTTGCGCGCACACCGGACAGATCGCACTCTCGCCTGCATTTCGCGCACGTGACACACACGATCTCCGCAGAGGGTTGCGCACACCGCATTTCGCGCACTCGACCTGCAGGATCTCCGCAGAGGGTTGCGCGCGCACCGGACAGATCGCACTCTCGCCTGCACTTCGCGCACTCGACACGCACGATCTCCGCAGAGGGTTGCCCGCGCGCAGGACAAATCGCACTCTCGCCTGCATTTCGCGCACTCGACACGC